GGGAGGGTCAGGGAACAGCCAAGTACTTGACCATCGAACCACCGGGGAGGGTCAGGGAACAGCCAAGTACTTGACCATCGAACCACTGGGGAGGGTCAGGGAACAGCCAAGTGAGGGCTCCTTACAACACAGGTGAACATTGTGTCATAAACGGCTTGTTATTACTGTATATCAACATGTCTGTTTACTAGGCGATATAAAATGTGTTCTTACTATGGGTTGTGGTTTTATAAAAAATGTTTGATTGCCCTGAGATAATCTTTAAACCTTAAACCAACAATATCCCTGAAGTATTAGAACCAAACAATAGTTTAGCATAGCTAGTAAAAAACATCTCCCTGGAAATCATTATGTTCCCTTAAGATCTGTCTGGATGGATCAAAATGACGATAGGCAGGAAACTTTGAGGGCTCTGAATTTATGTTAATGATGGGGACAACTTCGGAAAGGGAGGTGAGAATAGCTGTGCGGCCACAGGAAAGTATTCCTGCTTGTGGGATTGTACACGAACTGTTTAGTTAGTGTGTATTTTGCTGTGTATATTCTAAACTTCATCAATAAAAATGTTACAAAACTTGAGTACCATCACACCAGGTAGTAACCTCAAATTCAGAGTAACCTTTTGCATTTTAAAACTTGACAGAAGAGATCTGTGCAATGTTAAGTTTGCAGAACATAACATAGCCTTGACACTTGTGAAAATGTCAGGTCCCCTCCCAGTGCTACCTCCTCTCAGCGGGCCCCCACCACATTGCCCTGAAGTGCATGGTCATTGTCTGGTCTTGACTTTTTGAAGCTATCTAAGATTTAATTGTACTTCTATCCATAACCAGCAACCATGAAAGCAGTAATGACGAAATCAACGTATTTATTACATTGAAGAGATCTACTGCTCGAGCCTTTTTTTTTTACACTTTTTTAAATTGGTTTTCCTTACCAAGTTCATGTACGTTGTGTTTCACACTATTCTTCATTCACATTGTGTCTCATAAAATCATTCTCAAGCATTTTAGAAAATCAAATTTTTTATTTTAATTGTGATTTTAATGAAAGTTACATAGTCATTTTCTTCATGTCTCTTGTATAATTTGTTTTAAAGTCTGGTTATGGATTTATAGATAATTTTTACATTTTACAAATTTATGGATCATTTTTCTAAAAATACAGCTTTAAAGAACCTTTGGAGAGGGACATCATGCTGGGTAGAGTGGAGGGACAGTGCAGGAGGGGAAGACCCTCTATGAAGTGGATTGATTCAGTGACTGGGGTAATCGGGATGAGTGTGTCAGAGGCAGTGCGATTGGCACAGGATAGAGCAGAGTTTAGGGCTGTTGTACATAGCGTCGCTATGAGTCGCAAACGACTTGATGGCACATAACAACAACAACAGAGAATTTCCTGCTGTGTGTCCTGTTATCACACATTTACCTGTTTACATTACTGTGGAAATGCAGTGAGACAGCATTGTTTTTACACATTATGGGCCCTGTCTGTAAGTTAAAAATTGGTATGATACACAGTTAAATTCTACTTTGGAAAATATGATCATCTTAAATGGTACTCTAATAACGTGAAAAGACATTTCGATTTGTTAAGAGAGTGATTGTATTTAAAAAACATTTGGTTTTGAAACTATGACTAGCAGTCAACTCAGCCAGAGTCGTGGTCAGTATACGCCTTAAAAGAGTGATCATAGGACTCCTTCCTGTCACACTGCGTGGCCGTGTGTCCCTCAGAGAGACCTTTCAGCCAAGATAGGGCAGCAGCTCTGAGCAGGAATCACTGATGTTTACAGGAAAGCTGCATCTGACCAATTTAGTCCAGACTCGCCCTGGCAGCCCTTTCTGGAACTGGAGGCTGTTGTGTTAGTGACGCCTGTCCTCTCTTTCCCTCTCTTCTCAGGGTCAGTACCGACCGTCTGATCTGCTGTGTCCTGAGACGTACGTCTGGGTCCCCATTGAACAGTGCCTGCCCTCACTTGACAACGCCAAGTATTGCCGCTTCAACCAGGACCCGGAGGCAGGTAGGTCTGCAGCAGTGCTCGGCTGTGCCCGGCATGTGGTGACTGACTGCCTTTGTAGGGCCAGGTAGGTTGTGTACACTGCAGAGGGCACAGGCACGAGATGGCGTGAAACACACACACTCTACATACACATACAGACAGACGTGCTCAGTGTTGTGCAGAAAGAACTCACAAACCTCGCCTTAGTGCCACTTCCTGACCTCGCTTCTCCCCCGAGGTTAACATTTTTATACGCTCTGAGGATGAACGATATTAAGCCCATTCCTTTTCAACTGTGGCCATGCATTGAAACCGTGCCCCAGCTTGATGGAGCCACGTGGAGAAGCCGTGTTGAGGAGTGGGCTGAAGAAAGTGCTGGAAGGGAAGGGCCAGGGAAGCTCAGCAGGTGGGCATGGGTTTTGGGATTTGTCTTCGTTGGCTTGCTTCTTGTGTCTCGCTCGCCCCTTGTCTGTCCCTCTTCCCCTTGTCTGGTGTAGCCCCAGCTGATTTTCCACCTCTGTCTCCCAAGGCCTCTTGGACAATTTGGGTCCAGTCACCAGGAGGACAGCCCTGCAGCCGGGCTTCCTGGGTTCTGGCTCCGTCATCCTCTGTGCTCGGTATACCTTCAGCAGTGTGTGAATCTCCCAGGCCTCGACCACTTGCCTTTAAGATTCAAATGGCAGTGAACCTGCCTCCATGGACTGAGATGAGGACTCAGGTGTGACACCTGCGTGTAGACGGCCCACAGCCATCCTTGATTCTGGCTCTAGATTCTGGACGGGAGGCTGAATCCGAAGGAGTCTTTATGGGGGGAGACTGCTCATCTGACCCCAAGGAGAGGCTGTTGCTTGGGCCTGCTGGCCTGTGGTTTAGGAGCCTGGTTCTCCTCGGCTTTTGCCTTTGGTTTGCTCTCTTTCAACACAGGAAGGATGTTCTGTTTCTCCTTCCCGTGGTCCAGGTACCCGCACTGTGTAAAGCAGGCTCCTACTGCAGCCCTGGGGTTCTCAGTGGACGCGGCCGGCTGTGTAAACAGGTGTGATGGGTGCTAATGCCCTGGCGATGGGGACTTTGCTGGGGCTGCCTGGCTTTGCAGTGTCAGGGTCCCTGTCTTTGACAGGTGCAGTCCTGTCACTTTTCCCTTGTTCATTTCAGTGGGACATAGCAGCACTTTCCTTCTCTGATGGATTCCCTCTGCACACAGCTTCCATCTTTGCAGGTTCACTTGTATCCGCCAACCATGTACCTTTCCGCCAGGCTAGAGTTGGCGTTCCCTGGTGTTTGATCTGGGCTGCTGAGGCTCCGAGTCCTGCCGGCGCTCACACTGAGGGGACATGATCTTGATGCATGCTCGCTGTGTGTCACTTTGTTACACATCTAGGGCTGCAGGTTGGGGACACAAGACAGCAGAAGTGGAGAAGCAGGAGAGTAGCAGGGCCACACGGGTAGAAGCGGGCTAAGAAAGGAACGCAGAGGTCACTCCGGGTCTGAAATGTCCGGTTTCCCCTGCAAATACAGTTTTTCATAGCTGAAACGGGTTTACTTGTTGTTGTTAGGTATTGCTATCTCCCTCGGAAGCTGTTGTGAAATTAGGATCGGGACTTCTTAGACATGGGGGTGCCTTAGCGTCTGAAGAGGAGGCCTCGGGAACCCAGCTGACTCCTGGGTGTGGCCTAGCCTCCCTCTCCAGATTTCCGTTTATGAAGTAAACAGGACTGTATAGTCCCATCCCTGAAATGATTGATTAAATCGTTAATCAGAATCTGAACATTTCATCCTAAGAATATTTACACATCATTGAACAAGCAAATACTTGTTGCTTAAAATAAACATTAAATTTGCCCGTCGGTTTTGATGTTGGTCTCAAAGCCAAGTGAAGTCCTCTAATAGGAAGAGGCAGAGACTTACTCATTCTCCACTTACTCCAGGAAGGAAACTCTCCTTTTAGTTTTTCTCAGTCAGAGCGGAGCTGTGGTGAAAATCTGACTGAATTACTTCATGTTCACGTCCGCGCACTCTAAAAGCTGCTTCCAGTGGAGTAAGTACTGTTAGGATCTTAAATTTGTTTCTGGATCCCCAACTCGGAGAACATGTCACCGTCCCCTTTTCCTTCTCTCATCTTTTGGAAAGGTTGCTTTTCTCCTTAGAGTACTTGGAGTTGAAAAATGCCACAACTCTCTGCTTTTCAAAACTGACAAGGTGACCGACTAAATCATGCCTGGAGTGGATAGTCAAGTGAACAACCTTTTAGATCATTTTCCTAAATAAGCACTAATGAGTGTCTGATGGCGATGGGGTATGCTGAGAGGAGCTTCCAGTCTCCTGCTGACGGTCTTGGTCAAGTGTGTCGTCTGTCCTGCTGAGTGATGACTGAATGACAGTTATTTTCCCTGTAATCTAGCAAGTTATGTTTCCCAAGCAGCTTCCGCTCTGAGGAGTCATGCCTTACGTATGACTCATTTACAGAAGTCCATTTCTGTGCGGACAGCACTGAATCCTTGGAGCCTTTCAAGAGAAGACTGCAGACTTTGATCAGTATTGAGTATCACCATCCAGACAGAATTTGTAATGAGACTTGTAGCCTGTGGTTTTAGGAAATTAAAATGCAGTTACACGCTGGAATGTTCTGGAATGTTCTGGGCATGCTGTGAGACATGGCCATTTGAGGTTTCAGTGGCAAGCTGAGAAACTGCTCTCTTCTCTGGGGCCACTTTTACTTTGCGGTGACCCAGATTCTGACTCGGGCAGCGTCAGCGGAGCAGGACTGTCAGTGCGCGTGGGGCTCTGTCTCCCGGGCCTGTTTCCCCTCTCAGCTGTCAGCGGTTGCCTTGCACCTCAGAAGGCCAGCTGATCACGGTAGGTGTCTGTGAAACAAAGGGCGACTTCAAAGTGCAGCAGCGGCCTGTTGTGAGCATCTGAACTGCTGGCAGCCTCTGGAAACCCGACACCCCTCCGCCCGCCCGCAGTTGAAGTTAAGGTTCTGTGGTTATTTACTCAGCTCAGAGGTCTGTGTAACAGTACAGGCCTATTGTAGGCTGTTTCCTGGGACTGAGAGGAGGAGCTGACACACTGAAGGAACTGAAGACATTGATAAAGACAAAAACTGGCCTCCTCTCCAGTTCCCTCCTAACGACCATGGAGCAGAGCGGACCTGCCCTTTGGGGTTCCTGGGACTGAACGATCTTTATGGAGGCAGGCTGCTCCCTTGTTCTCCCACAGAGTGGCAGGCAGGTCTGAACCGCTGGTCTTTCAGTTCACAGCTGAGTACTCACTGCCACCTGGCCAGGGCTTCTTGGCGTGTTCTAAACCAAAAGTCACTGTCGCTGGGTCAGGTCCAGCTTCCAGGGAGGCTTTAGGACAGGGCCGAGCCCCGACCATGGGTTCCAAAGCTGCCCCTCATGGCATAGACGGCCTCCTCCTCCTCCCGGAGCGGCTGCTGGGCTCATAGTTCAAACTCAATGCTAGCAAGGGAGCGTTTTAACTGCTGTGCCACCAGGGCTCCCGTCACCCATCTACGGGAGGAGGCGTGTGAAATCCTCTTACTACACAAAGGGGGCCTTCAGCTTTCAGTTCAGGACGCCCCCCCACCACCACCACGCGCCAGGAGCACACCAACTCCAGAGAAGTCCTGGAGCGGCCCAGCATCTAAAGGCTGGCGGGTCAGACCAACCCAGAGGTACCTGGAAACCGGCCTGGCGATATGCTGGCAAAGGTCACACGTGGGTCACCATGAAGTGGACTGGACACTGTCACAGCCAACAGCAGCCATCAGTGCCACAGGAAGGACTTGAAACATTTTCACATGACTTTTAACAGCTCTTCCATAAAAAAAAAAAATAAAAAAAGAACTCTTCCATAGTTCTTAAATTGGTAGTTAGATGTATATAAATAAAAAAAATTTCTGTATCACAAACTGATTCCGTTAGACCAGCATTATAAAAAAGAAATTATGAAAATACAGACTAAAACAGTTTGAATATAGTTGCAGAACCCAAACAAACATTAACCACTCTTAAGTCAGTTCCAGCTCACAGCAGGCCCCAATGCCGGAATAGAGCTGCTCCAACCTGGCGGTGCCTCTTTGACAGCGCAGACCACCTCTCTCCCCCGTGAAGAGGCTGATGGGTCACACTGTCAGCCTTTCAGGTAGCAACCGAGCGCTTAACCACACTGCACCATCCGAGTTCTGTTGTTAAGTTTTGTAGAACCGGCTCATAGCTGACCTTCCAGTGCATTTTCAGAGGCAGTAACCCACACAGGAGGAACCATATGAAAATGCTAGCAAGTTGATTAAAAGCAGATTAAAAGACTTCTGCACCATGATCAAGGAGTCTGATCTGTAAGGATGTTCTGACATAAGAAATTCCATCAACGTCATAAACCATATTAATAAGACGAAGGCAAAGAGAAAGCACATGTCATTTCAGTTTTGCTACAGAGGTAGCATTGACAAAATGCAACACCCTTTGTGATAAAAACTCAGTAAATGAGGAATTGGAAAGAGGCTTCGGAACATGATGAAGGGCATTTGTGAGAACCCTCAGCTGACATCCTACTAGTGAAGAACTGGAAGATCCCGCCCTGTGTGTGGGAGCAAGACTCAGAGGCCCCTCTCACCGTAACACTGGACGTGATAGGGCACAGAGGCCCCTCTCACCGT